TAAAGGGACGTTTGTTTTGAAATTTTTTTGATCGCGTGATGTTACACCAAATCGAGATTCTTTATTGGATAATTTGTTGTAGATCATCACGTGATCGACAAAATTTATCATAGTTACGTAGTAATTTTTGTTGGCGATCCTGGGGTAGTTAACTTTTTTGGGTGGTGATTTTACCCCGGTCTATAACATTTATTCATGCTTATAGTTATATGGATGAGTTTTTATTTTTTACACTAATATATTGTGATACATATGTTAGGGGTACCCACATGATCGTCTCTGATTTTAGGTAGCGTTCCCACAAAAAAATGTTCATCCCAGTAATTTTGACCAATCAAAATTAAGATCAGGTGTTGTGTTTTGTTTACTAAGTAAAAAAGTTACGCGTAAAATGAAAACTGAGAAAACCGTGTTAAATTAGGGTTAAGGTTAAAACAAGATAATATTTATTAGTAAACCATCACGAGGAACATTTTTAATTAGGTCGCAGAAGGTGGTTTCATTCTTGTTTTTTGTAAAAAAAAATTAAAAAAATGGTTTCGTTCGATTTTTACGTTACACCTGATCCTGAAATTCGATTGGTCAAAATTGCAGGGGCGAACAATTGAGCAAGGGGCGTCATCGTGTCTCTGATACCTATGATTGGAAATCTTTTGTATTATCATAAAGGTATAAAAATTTTGTCATGATAAGTTAATATATCCTTCACATAATGCCCCGGATAATGCTGTACACTCTTCACCATACATTCTACCTAAGAGTATGAATCAAATGGGGTTTTTGTCTTGAAAATCACCCTCCGACATTTCCAATCGGGTTAATTCGGACAAAATAAACCCGAGTACCGGTTCATGTTCATATGTTAATCATCTTTTATCGAATCAATAAAAGTGAAAGATGATTACAGCTGTTTTCATAATTTCTGAAAGACCTGATAAAAATTTGCCGAATGGTTTTTTGGCCGATCCGGTTAAGTTATTGGTTTTGACATGATCGATACATAACGATAAATTACAATTTAAGTTACATTATATACATATAAATTACAATTTAGTTACATTATATATAAATTACAATTTTGTTACATTATATATAAATTACAATTTTGTTATGTTATGTACATATAAATTACATTGTAATTTGAAATATATATGTTTTCGCACAGACTAAATACACTACGGCACTAAACATGTTGGGCAAGTATTTAAACGAAAGTTTAGTAATATTGAACGTGCCGACATTTTATAATGTTAAAAAAGTATCATATATAAAGCATGTCTTTTATATATAGGAATATAGGGATATATAGGGTAGAAATTTGCGTGTAAATTTCTGATATGTAATTTTGTTATGTAAATAACGTTGTCCAGAACTTTATAAAGCTGGCACATAAAGTCTAATAATGCAGGTCAATAATCATGCCACTGCATTACTTAATGAAAAGTTATGTACAGTATAATTTGTAATTTTATTGAATCTATTATGCCGAAATAATAGCTTAACCGGTACGGCCGAAAAATTCTTCGGCAGATTTTTTATCAGGTGTTTCAAAAATTATGAAAACAGCTGTAACATATGAACATGAACCGGTACTCGGGTTTATTTTTTCCGAATTAACCTGATCGGAAATGTCGGAGGGTGATTTCCAAGGCAAAGACCCAAATATTTATTATATGAAATTTAAAATATCCAGATACGTGATCGTACGGTCCTGCGCGCAGCACCACGTGCTGCGCAGCTACCTTATTTATATATCATGTGTAATACCTGTGATTTAAAATGTTTTCAATTGTAAAAAATTGCACCACACAGGTATTTTGGCACGGTAATTTATCGAGCTACGTACGTTAAAGAAGCGGAAGTGATCGTCGATTGCGTAATCGCGACATTTTTTTTTTGCCATTACTAACCCACTTCTTAATTTGTGTTTAAGAAAGACTTTGAGATTTCTTTTGGCTCTTTCTATTACAAAGGCCCCATATTATATGCCGATTTAATTTTATCTTTTCTAGAGATTGGACCCGTTGAGAAAATCTTTACCCAGGTATTATTACATTACCCGGGTTATCCGGGTAAGTTATTATATATTTCGGGTAATCGTATAATAACAATTTATACCCGGATCCAATCCCTAATCTTTTCATTTAGTTAATAATTGTCGGGGATGATGCTGAAGCATGGATGATCGTGAAACATAAAATTCCCATTGACTAATCACTTTAACCCCAACAATTAGATGCGTTTTTTCCCATGTTTCAGCATCATCCCCCACAATAATTATAATGAACTACTTTAGTTTGTATTTCGTTGAGATTTTAATGATTATATATAAATAGGTTTCTTTTCAAGATTGCTTATTAAATTATGCTGACAAAGTAAGTTTATTATTACTTACTGGGTTGCACATACATAAAAAAAAACTATTAATCTCAACTAATATAAAGTATTAAAGGTATCAGCTTCAATATTCCTTCCCTTCCTCTAAAATAACTGATTGAATAATATTCTCGTTCCTGGTTTCAAAGTGGCTACATTATGCAGCTATCTAGTTGTTTTAAGTCCGGATATAATTATCAAATCTGATTAAAACATTTAAATCTTGATTCATACATTAACTTTAGTAACTCTTTTCATCTAGTTTTATTATCAACAATTACCTTATTGTTTTTATAAACAAAAACACAATTATGAGAAATATTTATTTTATAATAAATTTGTTATTATTTATTCATATATCAGAAAGGTATTTTATAATTCATGCTTTGAGAGAACCGTTAGGAAAATTATGGGATGTAGATGAAGATGATGTGCCTCGGTTATTGAATGATGAAAGGAACTTATGCATGGTGAATGGAATTTTAAAAGAATTGTTAGATGAAGAAAACTTTGGAGGAACCTATATAGATACAAAAAGTAATAAAGTAATTATCAGGACATTAAATGAAACTATATTTCGTGATATCCTTCGATCAGATCGGGCGATTCCGTTACGACCGTATATGGCAGTATTAAGACGTCGACCAACAAGAAATTCTCTATCAACCTTAAGAAACATTTCAGCAGAGATAATACTAAAAGCGCAAATATATCACCCAGTTTACTTAGTTATATACATTGATGTAGAAAAGAATAATATTGTCGTAGTTAGAAGTCTCGATGATGATGAAACTAATCAAACGTTTCTAGACGCTATCCAACCATATCACCCAATTATGCATTATTACGAAGAGCCAAAACGACGACCTCCTGGTTCTCCTAATTCGACCCACACTAAACGTAATGGAAAAGATGTACTCATAAAAGAACTAATAGTAAATGGGGATGGTATATATAATAATGGTTCCAAAGAAGAATGCACAGCGGGTTTTTGGGTAAAAAATGCAAAAAACCTTGCTGAGGATTATATTGTAACTGCAGGACATTGTATTGATCTGGATGATACAGCTCCTGAGCATAATACTTTTCTTTATGCACCGTGGGAAACCGTACCATCACTCGGGAGAAAAATTGGACCAATGGTAATTTATAATGAATCAGTAGATGACTTTGGCTTAATCAGAATAACAAATGAAGAGCTTAAACCAACAAGGAATATAAGGAATACAGAAGATGAAGAATTTAAAGAACTATTTATAAGGGATGTTGAACCTTTGTTGACCCATTATGCTCACTTATGTAAATCTGGCACAATTTACGAAGGTGATGACATTGGTGATGATGATGACGATGATGCACACGTTTCTTGTGGATATCTAATTTCGGTAGATGGTATTTATATAGATAAGAATGGTGTTATTAAAGAGAATTTGATCGTTACAACTATGGATTCTACTAAGGGTGATAGTGGATCGCCTGTATTCTATGCACGAGATTTACCTAGTGTGAGTCTAGTTGGCATACACATAGTAGGCGGTGGAAATGAAAAATGGCATATTACTTTAGTTCTAAAAATAGAAGATATTTTTAAATTAGATCAAATAGAGCTTGTTTTGGGTGGATGAAATCCACTAATACGATTCTCAGGCTAATACCGTACGCTACTGGGGTGTTCAATATCGTCTAATTACAAGCATAGTGTAGATAGGGATGGCAAATGTTTTAAAACATAAAAAAATTAAAGGATCAATTTTTTTTGGCCAATGAAATTGTAGTACCAGAAATTTTAATTTTATTGGCTAAAAAAAAATTTATGTACGTGAAGTTACACGAAACCGATACACACAAATCATTTCCCATAAAAACATTTTAATATATCATGACGTAATTATCTTGATCATGATATGAATTATTTATATTTATTATTACACAACTACTTCTATATTTCATGAAAGACTTCCATTGAGAGAAGTTTATTTAAACTTTACAAAAATTACAAAGTGATAAGATTAGTGATACGGATCGACCCCTGCCCAACGGCCGGGTCGATGGGCGGGTCGACCCTCAGCCGGCACCTTTGTGGGCCGGGCCGGTTGATAAGAGAAGTGT